GCCCCCTCACTGGATGTGTTCAGGGCCAGGTTGGACGGAGCCTTGAGTAGCCTGATCTAGTTGAGAGGCGTCCCTGCGCATGACAGGGAGGTTGGACTAGATGATCTCTAAGGTCCCTTCCAGCCTTGGCCAGTCTATGATTCTATGACTCTGTAGCGTAATTCTAGTCCAAATATATATTCTGTAGCATATGCTTCTGCCCTGCTAAGAGTCAAGCAGTGTTTGTATCCCTTCTGGCAAAGGAATGGGATAGGTGCTTAGAGTGGATATTCCATTCAGAATTTTTGCTTAGAGGTTTCAGGAGTCATGTGATGACTTCTGTGGCTGTAATAGGTACTAATGATTAAAAAAACCCCATCAGTCTTGAGTGTTTTAGAATATATAATGACTGTAAGATACTTGTTCAGATCAGGTTTATATGGTAATGTGATTTGCAGTATCACAGCTGTAAACTGACAGTTATCTGTTAAGTGGACCAAAATAGCAGACTTTAACATGATGACGTTCAAGTGGACATCCCACACAGAGATGGCAGTTTGACATAAAAATGTTTCTCGTGGTGTTCTTTTACTTCTGATCCTTAGTTAGCTGACAGTTTTTGTGGAAAGGTATATCTTCCCTGAGACTATGTAAGAATATTTTTGTGATCTTATGTTGGAAGTAACAAAAACAACTGTAGCACGTTGTTTTCCTGATTATAGATGTGGACTTTAAAGAGTTAATTTCTTATTTTTCTGTTTAGAGGTTAACTGCTTTTATAAACGTTGACTGAAGAGTATAGGTCCTGGTGATATACCAGTGATGAACCTTGGGCAAAATTTACTGTACCAGTTAGCTTCTAAGAAGGCCAAAACCCCCAATTTTTTTAACTTCAGTATGAATGACCTTGAGTGTTATGCAGCTGTGCTGACAGAAGGTTTTGAAATATATTTATAGTTTTGAAATATAGTTTCTTAACCTAAAGGATAGACATATCTAGAAATTCCTGATTTTTGTAGAGTAGTACAGTAAATAAATGTAGCTATTCAGCTGTTTCGTGAACTTGTAAAATGAAGAAACCTCTTTCTGATGTGCTTGCTTGATACTTCAAAAAAGATTTTAATTTTTTTTCACATCAGATTTCATGATCCTTTTACTGTGCCATAGGTTGAGAAAGTTTGACTATTTATTACTACACAAAAAATCTGATGTACAGTTGCGACAAGTGAGCAAAGACAATTTAACACATTATTCACCTTAAATTCATTTGCTTATTTTCAGCAATTTGTGTAGTCATCGGCATATTTGATATATTTACGCTGCCACTTTGCATTAGAAGCCTATGTTTTTATGTGCTTTTGGTGAGACCACAAATCAGCTAGAGCTTTAAAGTTTTGAGTTCCCAGTCTATTCCTTAATGTAAACATGCTAAAATTTACAAAAAACTCCTAATCTTCAAAGTACCTTTTACTAAACTTTTTAATTAGAGTAAGGTGGTTCTGCAAATAGATGGAATTTAGGTTTGGTGGGGTAAGAAAACAAATTAACCCTGCCTACTGTACAGCATGGACCCTTTCCAACCAATCCTCTGGGCAAGCAGGCAGGCACTCTGGGTTGCCTGAATTTCCTGGTCACTTACAGGTCCCTTGAGAAGCTGCCTCATCCTGCCACTTCTAAGAATCTGCTCCCTGCTGCAGGCAAGCCCGGTTCTTTTTCTCTGCTCTCTAACTCATTTCCACAGTCACACTGTGGGCACTTTGCTTTCTGTACCATGCTCCTCGACTGCTCTGTGCTGCCTAACAGATTCTACAACTGCTTGTGTGATTGCTCTCAGGAGAGGTGTGCTTGGGTTTTTTCTTTTTTTTTTTTTGTGTCTTTCTTCCCCCCTCCACCCTCGCCTTCCTTTCTGGGTTCCTTAGCCTGATGTGTGCAGCAGTGAGGGTAGGTTAAGCAGCTGTGTCCTTCCTTTGTGCTGCTCAGCTACATTTTTCTGAATAAAGCCGGCATTAGCCACAGGGTGAACAACAACAAAAATAGCTTTGCATTTCAGTCTGTGCAAAGGTAAAACACGATCTCTGTCCCAATTTGAGTTCATAACATAGTTCACGTGTTATGTTTTGCATGGAGTAGCAAGGGAAAGAATAAAATGAATCAGAAAAATAACACAGTTAACATATTCCGGCTGTGAACTGTGGTGATTCCAAATACCAGACAGATGACAAGCAGCATTCTAGGGATCAGCAACTTGTTTTCAGTTTTTCAGAATTAGTGGGCAGCTTCCTGGTTCCAAACAAGCGGGCTGTCTTTAGGACAGCTTTCGGAGGGCACTCTTCTAAAGTACACTGCAGGTAGCATATTGAACATGTGGCATAATAGAGGATATCGCCACTGATTTGGTGTGGCAAAATAGTTACAACAAAACCTTATAATGGATAAGGTCAGAGCTTACAAAGCATCTAAAGTGAGTGTGAGGTTTGCACGTTATACTACTCGGTCATACCTAAAATTCCAATTTTAATTAACTCTGGCCAAATTTCTCTACTTCAATCCTTTTCCCTGGAAAAGGCTATAAATTTCTACTTTTCTCCCTGGGAAGACCTCTTAGAAAAATCAGTCCAGTTTGGGAGTTGGTAATTGTTTTTCCTCTATTTTTTTTGCATTCAGACTATGTTAACAAGATTGTGTTACCATGGAGATAGGTTTTATCTTCTTGGAGCTTTGATGTTAGAGACTCTAAGGAAAATCTTAGTGAAATACACATACAGAGAAGGCAAAGGTACCTTGCATGAATTGGGGAAAAAAAAATTCTGGTGGTGACATTATGGGCATTTACAGTGATTTCATGTATGAGATGTCATTCTAGAATTATTGCATTTGGCAGACTAACAACAGTTCAATCCACCTCGCAGTAATTAACAAAAGAACGAGGCTAAAGAGTGCTGGAAACCAAAGAGCTTGGCCAGTAGATTCTAGTGTACTGTGATAAAA